TAAAATATGATTATATTTGTGAGTACAACATAATCCAACCTTTTCAGTCAGTTAAGTTATAAACCTAATGAATAATTAATTCTCCTGGAAAAACAGCCACAGTTTTTAGATGAAGTCTAAACCTTTTAGCCATCTCTAATGGGCATGAGTATTATGTAATGGGGTTTTTTCCCCTCTTTCCTTCAGAATAAAATCTATTCCCTTTTTCTGTGGACCTTTGTACAGCAACATAATCCTAAAACAGAGAGCATTACTTGTTGACATTATAACCCTTAAGATTTGTAAGTAGCTTACAAAAAAGCTTCCTGGTTTGACCTGTATTTTTATATTTGTTCTTTTCTTGCTGCCAAGACATTTAACGCCAAGGCCACAGGTGAAGGAATAAGACTAAGTATATCTAAAACTGTCTAATATGCAATAAAAATACACCTAAACACGTGAATTTCATGCAAATTCCAATTGAAACTATATTAAGATCTGCTTGTCCTTTAAAGATGTGGTAGCGCTAGTGATAAGCATATATTAACTTTCACAGTGCACTTTTTTCAGCTTTCCTTCATGGCATTTGCTGCAGGAACAGTCTTGTATTATGTTTTTATTCTCGTCATATATTTTTAAAATTATACGTTGTTCTAAGAAAAGTTTGCATTATGTTGCATTAGTTACCCAGTGTCAATGCCACAGTTTTCTGTAAACAGGCCCACAGCTAAATTGTGAAAACCTGGGTTGACAACCCACAATGTAACTTTGTCATGTTAAGAGAAGAGAAGCTGTTAGGTTCAGACAAGCCAAATAATGGGGAAGATGTCCCGGGACTGTTGAACTTGTTTTACTTGTTTTCTAATTGCAGGCCACCAGAAAGATGTATAAAAGTCATCTTATCTCTGGGGTAAAAGAAAGGGAGATTTCAAAGTCAAAAAGACGCGCTTAAGCCTAAACCTAGTTTTCAGTGGGACGAAGGAAGTGCACTTTTTACCTGGCCACATGGCAAATTCTTTCTTTGACCAGTTTCTCCATGAATGAACTCTCAGATGACAGACTACCTTTTATTTTCACAAACATGTTGAGCTTTTCTAATTATTCGCAATATTTGAATTTCACTTATTTACATGGTATTTATCGCAAAGTGAATTTCACTTTTATCTGGCCAAAAAAGTTACATGATGCTTTTATTGTGAAACAGTGTCATGTCCAATGTTCCCTCTAATTTTTCACGTGTCTGAGCGAACACACAAACTCCCTGAGCGGACACTTGGACCACTGTGAGCAACAGCAGACGTCTGCACTGTGGTCACGCCATGCTGTGTAAAATGTTGATTAAAACAGAATGCAACTGTTTCCATATTCTATTCACAATACACAGAAAACTGAGGAAATGTAACATTTTAAGGAAAAGTAAGGGAGGTAGTTTTGAATTTGAAAAAATAAAAATGGTCTCAAAAAAGAGTTGTGTTTATGACTGTGTATTGTGTAACTGAAATATGCATGGTCTTTCTTAAAAAAGAAGCCATCTGGATGGGAGCATATTTTGCTCTAAAGCCTATGTAGCTTTTAGCATTGATGGTGCGTTTCCACATGTGCAAGCTACTAGCTCCATGGGCACTAATGCACCCTCATACCACGAGAGATGTAGGCTTTTGACCTGAGTCTTGATAACAAAATTTGTTAGTGAACTGTGTTGAGAAACAGCAGTTTCTAAAACTATTGCTGAACCCGTGAGGTGATTCATTCATGTTAGAAAATCTTTAGATGTTTTCTTTTACCTGCAGCCCTGGAAAGACCAAATCGTCTTGGGAGAAAGTAAAAAGTACAAAAAAAATACTTCAACCCATTAAGAAGGCTTACTTATCTTAGCCTAATCTTATAGGCTATATGGTCAACAAGTACAGGCTTAATGCCCTCTGCTATGTTGCTGCACAAAGGTCTAAAGAACAATAAAATGTTCTGCAGTGAGGTCACAAAAGTGAAGAATTAAATTTTCTTGGCCTGAGTCTCGCATCGACATGAGAAAAACTGGGAGCCTCTTACTATTTGTCCACTTGTTGCAGGATCTTGCATGACCCTCTCAACCTTCTTATCTGTGACACCTTATGGGGAATCCTGTTGAAGGCGATTTGTAGCAGGGGTCAGTGCCTCAGGAGGTCAGCCCTAAGTTTGTGTATGTAAGTAAAGTTTATTTTTGTAGCACTTCTCAGGACAGAGAACAGTTGCAAAGTGCTTTACAGAGGTAAATGGATTAAATCCAGACCCATGCCAAGGGCAAAGGGTGCAAAGAGATATTGGTAAGCTGTTCCATAGTTTTGGAGCTAAGGCAGAATCCCCTTTAGTTGGAATCATAAAAAGGGCCCTATCTGAGGACACCATAACCTGGCTCTTAGGGGCAGAACAGTTCCATAATGTAGGAAGGGGCCCATAAAACTAAGAACCAGGATTTTAAAATGAACTCGAAACATCACAGGAAGCCAGTTTAAAAATGTCAAATGTGGGGTAATTTTCAGAGACTTGTTACAGCAGGATTTCGCACAGACTGGAGGTGTTTAATAAATGTTTTAGTCAGACAAGAAAACAGTGCATCACAATGGTCCAAGTGAGAGGAGATGAAGGCACAGACAGCATCTCCACTTTACTTTTTGAAACAATAGTTATGCTGTAACTGATAACTGATCTGTAATAAAATGGTTATTGTAAGCTGAGTATGATTTAAGCATGCAGTTAATAATTAAAATGACAGATTAGTATGCCACATACATGTGCCGTTCAATGAATCCTAGGTCTATAAAATGGGTGAAAAAAATCATTTTAAATGATTTTTTTTAAACGTAGCATCTTCAAACTGTCCCCTCAAACTCCCTTAGAGATAAGTCTTAGAGATAAGTCTTAGAGATAAGTCTTAGAGATAAGTCTTAGAGATAAGTCTTAGAGATAAGTGCCAGGCCCTGAAGTCTGGCCGTGTTACATCCTCCAATTCATTTTCTGCCGTTTAGCCAAATAGATAAGAGGAAACAGAGGAAACGAAAACTGTCGTTTTAAGTAACACACAGGAAATTCAAAACAAACTCAAACCTTTAGTTTAGTTTAGTAAATTGGAATAACCGGATGAAGAAACAAAGGCAGCACAAGTCGCGCATTTTTACAGCCGATATTTTCCTCACACTTTACAGCAGCAAAGTGAGCGCTTACTCCCGCCGTTTATCTCCTAAGGCATTTATAAACTTTCCTTCACCTCCGTGCATTTACGCAACTGTTTAGATTTGTCTTTACTGAGCATCTTCGCTTCCATGTAAACGCCGCAAGATGGCGCTGCAGAGTTGCAATTTTCTTGTTAAGAGAGAGAGAGAGAAAACCCAGCCACTTACAGGATGAGGCGCCCGGTCAGCGTCGCAGGAAAGAACCGTTTATCATAAGCACTGAAATGAAATCTGTGGGTTAATAAGGCAACAGTGGTGGTTTTGATTGGTGGTTTTCTATATGAAGGTTTTGTGTTACCGCTGATATTAAACTTCTTTAGATAATTATTAAGTTTGGCCACAGAGTGGTGGCGCTTGCCTCTCAAATGACTGCCATAAATAACAGGAAAGCTTTAGAATAATTTGTGCTGTTTACATTATTTTTGAGAAATGTTTCCAATTTAAGCGCAACAATAGAGATTAAATCCCATTAATATTACTAGTTATTGAAAACTTTTTTTAAACGTAAGAACTCGTGATTTTCATGAACAATTAAAGTAACTGAAATCATTTTGGCGGCTCAAGCAAACTGACCAATTTAATTGAATTCAAAGGGATTTATTGGTATAAACAGTTCCCCTCACGTTTTTATTTTTCTTTAAATTAAGCCAAGCCTCTGTGGAAAAGCAGCATGGAAACCACAGACACAAATCCATAACCAAACGAACTACTGAGATGGAGAGTCCTGATCCGATCTGCTCAATAAAAGCCTCGGAATAGCCTTGTGCATATGAAACTATGCTTGTTCTCGTAAATGCTTACATTTCCCCCAGGAGCTGTGGGTCACACTGAAACGCTGAAATTCAGTGTTGTGACATAGTGTCGATCACATCATGATTAGTAACAGCGAGCTTTGAATGATACCGGGCGCATCATAAACACGCATGATGATGCAGGATATTGCACACAACTTTATGGGAGTTTATTCGAATCTTGATTCGTGCGTTACTCAGAACTGCTACATCGTCCCGATCCAGATCTTATCCCCCCACGGAAACACGGACACCGTCCTTATTGGCGCTCCTGCATACCGGTGCAGCTATTGGGTGTCAATCTCACGCAAAAAGAGGGGGGAACAGAGAGAGAGAGAGGTGTGTGCACGGGATGCTGTGATGTCTGGTCGCCACTGAGAGGATGCTATCGATCAGGCGTGCAAATGCTTCCTTCTCCGCTTTGATAAGCATGGTCGTGTGCGCGTTTAGACTCTTTCTGCTCCTCGTAAACAAATTGGACAAGGTAGGTGTTGCCAAATCCCCGAAGTTTCCCAATGTGACGATTTCCCCCCTGGTTCATATAGACTGCAGCGATTTGTTGACCTTTTTCTTTTCACGCGCACAGGTAATGTGAGCGGGGACCGCACTGGGTCATTAATGCAAAACTCCTCAGCGCTGTTCGGGATGGTGAGCCACTGCCAGACCCCTGCTTTCACCGACTTCACTGGCTTGACGCTCTCCGTGTACGGCAGCAAGGGAGACATCTGTGCGCGACGAGCAGGGAACGGCTTTGGATCGCAGATTTGCCGGAGCCCTCATGACACCCCGACTCACATGAACTGCGCCAGCCCGAAGCGACTCTCCGCGTCCGAGGAAAAAGCGCGTCTGTCAGGCAAAACTGCGCGCTTGTGCTTCTCTCTCCCACCGGTGCAAGGTAGGCTCTGTCGGCACTCCTGCTGCTGAGCATGGAGGATGTTGCAAAGTCCTTTAACTGAGTGGATTCGCCAGTTGAAGGAAATTGAAATGTTTTTCATCTCTTTATTTAAAACAAACGTTATGGCACATTCAGCCAGACAGTTTGACCAGTTAGCAGTTCTGGTTATTTGAGAGTGATTTAAAAAGCCATCATCTGAATGAATATTGCTTCCACATGGCTTCTAAAGAGCGTCCTTTGATATAGCTGCACTTTGGTGTAAAGAGCATTGTTTGCAGTTGTGCGTTAGGCCTTTTAATTAAACTCAGACCTCCTTTGGGTGCTGGCCAATTCATAAACAGTCTATCAAAGACTCCTGTGAAGGGATATAGAAAGCTGCCAAGCAAATGTGCACTTCCTATGTGTGTTAACAGGGAATAGTTTAGTTCAGTGTCACATTGGCTTATCTAACAATAGGAAAACTCTTTCTTGGACAGCTGCAACCGTCTATTTTGTCTCAATTTGAGAAAAATATTAGGGCTTTTAGTTAACTAAGTAGACGTGCTTAAATTGCTAAAATATTCTTATATGAGTCCTTTGGTGCCTGTTGGTTAAAAAAAAATCAAGAAGCAGGGCTGGGAGTTTATCGGTGAAGGGAAAATCTTTAAAGCAAAAATGACATAGATGAAAGTGGAATATAAATAGTATACAGAGTGGAAACTGTGTTTTTAGTCTGTGCTATCCTGTTTAGACAGTGTTGTTGTGAGTGGGTGGAGGTAATTACAGCCCCGTCCTAAATTCTGATTAGACTGAACAGACTTTTATATTAGCAATCACCCTTGCAGCAAGAAGAGGATCAACGGATTTGATTATTGTTTCTTGGTCCTAAACACAAACCATATGTCTGCTGAATGTGTCTCGGCATTTATGAGTTCTCTCAGAGCACAGTTGTGCCCTCAGCCCTCCATCCCCAGCATCCCGAACCAGAATGAATTGTCTCATTGTCTTTTCAGCGCTTTTGAACTCGCTTCCCGTAAATTGTGGGAATGCAAGATGTGTTATGTGTTTGTAGTTCACGTTATGCAGATTAACACTGAGGCCGACGCATTCTTTCTGTTTTTTTGGCCTGAATGTATAAAACAATTGAGTGAAATTTTAATAAGGTCATCATTTTTATGGCAAGCAAAACTTCATCCAGCAAGAGTTTCCTTAAGCACGCACTGATTCAGCGACATTATATTTTATTGTAGCATTCAGGAATACAAAGTTTAATTGCGTTTAATGTGAACTCTAATGTTTCTAGCCTGCACAAATATGTGCTGCATTACAGGCATTTTTACAGTGTTTTATAGTCAGTCTTGGTGAGCATGGAGTATGAAAATGATCTCAGTACTCATCAGTCTTTTGTATAATGCCTCATTTCAGCCCGGTCATATTACATACTCCCATTTGGGGACAGAGCTGGAATTAAGGCTGCATTCTCAACCATTACTTTAGATTTATTCTGAAAGGGATCTCAGAACAAACAGTGCCTGTAATATTTCTCCTAATGGAAGTGAGACAGCGGAGGAAGACTTAACTCAGATAGGAGATTCCCGACCTTTTCCGTGAACCCTGTAATTGCAAAAAGTGAGGTATTACTCAGTGATAACAGCGATTCAAATGTAGGTGGTGGTGTTTCATCTAATCCTTGGAGGAAAGCTGTCACGCACTACAAGATGTTTGCATTTGGAACTGCTTTGCTGGTTTTCTAATTGCTCCCAAACTGCAAAAACCATGCTCTCTGCCAGTTTTTCTTCATTGTGTTCGATTGTTTGCATAAGTGTTTACAAGTGTAAAACCACTGACTTGAATGAGAGTCGGTGAATGAGAGAGCATTCGACAATACATATATATTTATTTATAGAAACGATAGAAAAGCACCATTTTCTCTATTTTTCTTTGCACCAAGTCAAATAACACTTAAATCTGTGCATTACTTCAGACAGTGTGCTTATTTTTTCCGTCCTCTTTGTGAGTTTAACGGTGGCTAATCACTCTAACACTGCAGGTCAACTGTGCTATAAATATTAGTGCCCACCAGCAAAGAAAATATTAAGTCTGCAAGGAAACCAGCTGAATATCAGCTTGAATGAATTGTCTACTCTAGCATCATTTGATATCTTACTGAAGTTTCTCCTGGCCAGAACGATGCTGCTGAGTCTGAGCTTATTTAAGGAAATGTTTGAGTCTGAAGAGTGTGCTGGTGTCCCACACTGCTGCTCTCAGATAATGCACAGGATGTCTCTAAAGAGATGAGTAATCAACATTTGAGCTTGTATGTTTTTGTGCCACATTATCATGTGACTAGCACCGGTGTACCAGTATAAGCACATAAACTCACCAACCTCCATAGCATCGATCTTATATATTGTAAACAGACACTGTGTGAGCCTACACTGCGTGCACACATCCGCTGATATCCTCAGACACTATTTTTATGGGGAAGTGGCATTGGTATCAATGTGAAATTCCCTCAGACTGACTTGGTTTCCTGTGTTTTCCCCCAGACGTCAGACTGTGGGGCGATAATCTGACTGTTATGAGAAACAACCAACCATTACAGTGCTGCTTTCAGCCTGTGAAGTGTAATACACTTAATGACAGCTTCCCAGTAGCCCGTGAATAATTTCAGTTGTAAGTGCAAAGTCTTTATTGTGAGAAAAGCAGCGGTTCCAAGCAAACTGTGTGAATTGTTACCCGTGTGGTGTCAAATGTATCTGAAAAACAGAAGAAAAGCTTGTCAGAGTCGCCTTTTCTTAAAAAGTCAGACAAATCAGAGTAATTAAATGTCCCAAAATATCCTTCTCATTCATCAAAACCCAGTGTTCAGCCAAGCCTAAGAGGAAACTGGTGATTACATAAAAATATCAGTATTCCAATACTTTCCGTTGGCTAGATTCTGAGTATAGGCTTTCATCTAAATCATTAGATTTGTGTCACATCAAAATGTTTATATATCTATAATTCTGGGAGAATATTTGTTTCAGCTGTTTCAAGGGGTTTTAAATTTCTTAAACTACCTGTGACTTGAGGCTTAAAATGCCTTTAAGCGTATTTGATGTATGCCCAGACAATATGATTTATTTTGCTTGGATTTCACTGTTTCTGGGGGGAGAGTTCAGTTGTGTTATTGCTGAACTGTTTTGGTTTAATGCTGAAAGGTTAAGAAAATCGACACAAATCAGTGACTTTACATCGTGGTTTGTTAACTTGTTACCAAAAGCAGTCGATGGAGTTCATATAGTTTAGTGAAGTCGTTCATTTTTTTCTCCCCAGTATTCCAACACAAAGCTTCAGGAATGAAAAAGTGTCATAATGTCATAGTTGGTAAGGTAATTAATTCAATCTAGTCTAGACTAAAAGTCTAGAATTTAATGAAAGTTTATATATTTTTATATTTTAGAGGCTGTTAAGCAAGCTAGGAAAATTTGGTTTTACCCTAATCGGGTCACAAAAAAATCAAGGCAATAGTTAAAGAATACAAATCCTCATCTGGGTTAATATTCAGGTGTTGCAGTGTTTTGTATCATTTACTTTACAGAGTCATTTTTTGTTGCTTGCTTTTTAAACTTTTCGCCAAAACCACATTTTACTTTTTAAATAGTGAATCATTTTCATCTTTTTTTTTTCTTAAAAATAAAATTTTTTTAAGACAAGAAAGGAAAAGAAAAAAGTTCCTCTGCCGATCACTTTTCTGTTGAAAGGAGAAAAAGCTGACACGAGCACTGAAATATCAGTTTATTCAGTGCGGCTGAAGTTTGAAAGACGGCTGTGGGTCTCAGTATCGCTGTAACTCCTTTTGCCAAAAAGTAGTGGCAGTGATGAAAAGCTTATAGGCGCTTTTTCTCGAAGATATTTTGAAAGACAATCAACCCTCAGAAACGTTTTGCTGCTACCGCTGCTCTGTGACATTTGACCTTTTATTGAACGTCTTCTTCGCTTAATTTCTCTGCTGAGGCTAACCAGATAGTGAAAAACTACACAGCACATTTTTTTGGTTATGCTTTTTTTTCAGCCAGCTGTACTTTATGTGGAATGCGTCATCGTGAACGGTCTTCTCTTTGTCCGGTTGTTCTCCTTGGAAAAAATACACACGGACCTGTTTATATATAAAAAAGTAGCACAGTGATAGTAACATTCTTTTCCTGGGTTTTCTCACCGCTCGATGCATTCCCATGAGCTAAAGAGCCTCAGCCCACGTCTTTGCATACTGCATGAGCTCAGCAGTGAGTTATGGGCAAATGTGAGGGTGCTGCCTGGGAAGGGTGTTGCAGGGTGTAATATTTGCAGCATGTTCCATTGATTCATAAAGCGAAGGCCCGGTGATGATTCTGCAACGGTATTCCCGTAAACCTCTGTCTGCCTGAGACGCTGGATGCTGGGTAATGGAATAAAAGCACTTCCTGAGTCACAGCCACTAGAGAGGGAGAACGAGAGAACACCCCTTGTGTGGCATGTGCTGGGCTGAATCACCTCAGCCCAACTCGGCCTGAGATCCACGTGGTGTGTATGGAATCAGGAGGTACGACGAGAGTTGCATCAGCTGTGGTCGGATTCTGATTAGATTTGCTAAATGAGCTTGAAAAAAGCTAAAATGTGATGTTTGCTGTGCTTTTCCTTTTCTGTTGTGAGTGTCAGTAAGGTCAGATGTTCTCATTCTTATGTGACCATTGTGGTATGACTATGGCATCTCACTCTAACCAAAAGCATTCTGACTTGCATTCTGCCAAGGAATCCAAACAGTCACACAGCAAAAATATGATCTGGTTTGAGTAAGTGTCGAAATATCTCTGGAATACCAGAAGAAATTTGCCCGGGGCCTCAGCTTAATCAAGAAAAAGCTGCAACGTTGGCTCAGATATGTCATCGTAAAAGTGTATTTTTAGCACAAACCTTGCCCAAAACTTTTATGCGCTCTTGGCGGTGAGAGGAATAAGCTGCCAGGTGTCTTTGTTTTGGAGCTCAGCATAGAAAAGATA